GAATAACCCACGCTCAATTTGGATTGAAAAACCTCTATGTTTTGTGTTCAATAATTTTTATATGTTTTTTCTTGGTTAATCAATCAATGAAGATTCTACATTGAAGGATGTCTCAGCCGTTTTGTTGGGGGCCTTCCCGGAGGTTCCGCCTTGTTTCCGCCTTGGACCTGCCCGGCCTGGGCGGTGAACCGCCCTTTTGGGTAAGGTTCGCTCCTCACCGAGACACGCGGCTCGCATCGGCTCGCCGTTGTGGTTGCCTTCCTTTGGGGTCACAGAAAGATCAAACAGAAGCTAAGCAAAATGTAGCTGAGAAGCTCTTTCGATGTAACTTTGGATGTTTGGCTTCTCAGAATGTAGCTGAGACAAACATGCAAAAGTGCACATTTCGGAAGCCACAGAAGCTCTGTCGGAAAACAAATCACCGCAGGCCTCTGGCACTGTGATCTGCATGTTGTTCCTGGATGTTAATAAGGTTGAATCCGTTGCAACCTTTTGCAATTCTTGTCTAGAACACATCTGGAGCTGGTTGGCTTGGTGCACTGAATCAAACCATGCAGGAGTTCTTTTCCTTCTTCTTCCCGCCGTGGTGACAACCATGGAGCTTTTTAAATCGAAAGACGCGTCAGTCAGTGTGCATGCATGCGGGCCGCAACACAATGTTGAAACAACCAAGTGCGATGAAACAGCCGAAACAGCAGCAGCAGCAACAACAACAACAACAACAACCACCACCACCACAAAGCCATCATTGATCAAAGGTCTACACTATCCACTAAGGAATACTAAGGAAACCGTTTCTTCACTCCTCATGAACAAGGGGCGCTCCAGCCTTCCCGAACAGGCTCCTCTTGCACCTCCAGCCAGCTGTTCGCCTTCTCGCCTGGTGATCAACAAGGTAAATACATTGTAAATACCACCTGCAAAGGAAGATGGGCCCTGAAAATTGCCCCCCTGCATGGAAGATCTTCCTCATACAACTCAGTGGTTTTGAGGGTCCAAGCATGTGATTTAATCTGCAGGCTCTATGCAAAACCAAGTGAACCATGCTCTATGAACCTGAGCACAAATGGGCTCCATGCACTGACCACGTTGACATCAGGGATGTTGAGCACCAAAACCCCAGCTGCGACGTACGTCTAGATAGTGGAAGTCTGCGGCGAGTGACATTAATGTTCTCTTTACTGGAGTACGTGGCAAAGCGGGAATATGTGGATGAAGAGAGGCAGCACTGGCCACAAAGCATCTCGAAAAAAGTTAAATCACCCTGTTTGGCCGTGGTGCTTCATTGTTCGGACTACCACACGAATCCGTCGCGAGGGACGCACAGCCCTGCCTGAAACCTCAACCTCCACCTGCACCTCACCACAGCAGTGAAGTAAAAGCTCGTAACAGCGTCGCAGCCTCGGCTGACTTGATGTGTGCGGTGGACATTTGTTTGATGGTTGCTCGAAACAACCTAACCATTGCGAATTGAGAAGCTGAGTCTAACTAGGCCGTTGAAACGATCACAGCCGACATATCACCTAAGTGTGCTACTCGATACTCTCACACTTTGAGAACTAGCGCATCCATTCACCACTTGACGGAGGGAAGGGGTCATGTCCTTGCAAGGATTCTCGTCCTTCCAAAAGGTGATTGTAGTGGTGATTGTCCAACCTTCTGGACGAGTCTGGCTGAAGGGGTCAGCTTCGTGACACCCAGTTCACTGGGTGTTTGGACTTCACAGTCAATGGTGAACAGTCTCTTCACCATTCAAACGCCCCGAACCCGCAAATGCGAGTTCGGCGCTGTTCTATCCGGAAACCCACCGCTCTCAAGTCCAACCAATCGCTGTGGTCACTTCTGGGCCAGCCAAGCTCTGCAAAGTTGCCGCAGCGCTTCACTGCGTGGGAGTCTGGGTGGTGCTGCCAGGCCGCCTCAAGTTCGGGCTCCGGGACTCCGGGAGAGCTCTGTGAGAAGTGTATGTGTGTGTGTGTGTGTCTGTGTCCACCTCTGTATCGAAAGTATTTCACAAAGCCAAGCTTAACATGTGGGATTTGTCGGCATGTCGATCAAGCTTTCGCAGAACTCTGAGCTCGAACAGCTCAAAATCTTTAAACGTATAGTGCTGCATCTGCAACACTACATGCTCGAGCAACGAGACAGGGGTCTCTAAGGTCGCATTCGTGACTTTGAAAAGCATTCCAGACACTCCATGGGACTGGCATACATACATTGGGGTGGTTTCAGGGGTCAATGGTATGCAATCACAAAGCATCTATGAAACACTATCCACGACAGGTGCTTTTTGGGGAGGTGCTTTTTTTCAGGTGGATATATGTGTTCGTGTCGATGGTCCACGTTTTTGTCAGGGTCGAATACCCAGTGGGTCGGGTCGAAGGAAAAGCGTCTCTTCAAACACCACGTCGATGACGAAGCGTCTCTTCTTTCGAACACAAACGAACATGTACGAACTACTAAATACCCTTCCACAAACTATCCTGAACATACCTGAACCTCACCGAAGGTGTCACCAATAATGGAAGGCCCATATACACGTCTGTTTTCGGATCGACACCGATCGACACCCCTTGGAAGGTGGTCTACATTTCTCTTCGCTGCTGTGTCTTTGACAAAGTCTGACCATCTGGTGAGTTTCCCAATGGGTATGGTACTTGGAGTACTTGGACATCATCCCTCCAAATTCCAAATCGAAAAAGGCCGGGATGGACCGTCCACCACCCATCCCCACTTCGGGATTCCAATCGAATCTACACCCCGGACGTGATGGACGTCGTGCCTTTCGCATCACGCCGCGGTGCGACCCCCGCCCGCGCCCCGCCCGACCGACCCGTGGCCCCGTGCCCGGGTCGAAGCGCCGCGCGGAACAGGTCTTTCGTGTCCGTCGGATCGCACGCCGCCCAGGCACTTGCAGAAAGGCCTCCCGCACGGTCGCCCCCGACCCGAGGCCCAAGAGCCGTCGACAGGCGCGGCAGCCTGGACCGGCGTGGCGAGGTCCGCTGGGATGTGAAACCACAGGTCCCTGTCACACCACCGATGATCTGGCCGACTGATACCCGACCCAGCTGGGGGGGTGTCCATGAATTCAATTTCATTCAAGCAAGTGTCCGAGTTTTGGGGTCTTCCCCTCGGGCATTTGGCTTCACCGGAAAGCACCCTTCTCCATTTCAGCCGAAGTCCGTTGCCTGCTGCGCTGGGACATGCGAAGCCACGCACCTGGCCAGACGCTCACAGCTGTGCGTCCAAAAGTCAACAGATCTCTGACTCAGTCCTTTGTAGATGTGGGGGGATAAGGCAAGCTTTTTGGAGCTGCATCTGTAACTGACGTCCACCAGTTTTACCAAAGTCTTAAAGGGTTGTTGATGATGTCTGTTTCACAATATCATGATTCAGCCCAGTGATGAGACTAGCCAGTCCAAAATGAACCGATGTTCCAACGAACAAACATGATGGCCAAGCCCAAGATCTCCTTCAAAATGTAGTTCATATATATATATATATATACGTGCTTTTGATCCAAGGGACTCCCAAAAGTATGCTCCGTTCTGGAATAACCTCATCATCCAGGCTGTTTCCGAATTGATAGAAGCGACCGCTAAAATCAACGGCCCGTCATATCCTTTTTGGCATGTTTTTGCGCTTTGACTCCACGGGAAGTCCGCGAACACCGGAACCAGCCCTGTTTCAGGAAGCAAACCCGCCCCAACGATGTCTCTAAGCTCCCAATGAGGTCTGTGACCTCCCAGCGAGAACTTGAGAGCCCTTCCCCCAACGGCGGCCATCAGCGCCTGCCCCAGTCGACTGGTGGTAAGACCTGGGAAAAGACACGGGCGTTCGCAGCCTGCACCAAGAAGGCCAGTTCTGTCATGCATAGACTAAACACATCTGCCAGCACTTTCCGTGGATTATGGACACCCCTCTTCCTATGTATGTTCCATCCAATAACCAATCCTTCCGTTGTGCTGGTGCTGAAATATGTCAACCAGGGGGTGAAACGTTCCAACTTGTTTCCTTGCAATGAGGGTCTATACAAAGCCACTTCTACAACCGCTTATTGCTGTGTCCAACTGGATCCATCCGTGCATGTCCGGCCACTAACGTGTGCCTGAAAGTGAGACATCACGCAGAACTGGCCTGAAGTCACCTTTGAACATCGAATTGATATACCCAAAACATACTCAAATAACAGTTCATAACAGTTCTCTGCCTACTTGATCCAGCTTTGCAGCGACTTGCTGGCTGAACCCGTTCCGTCCCAGATTCAGCCTCGGGGTTTCGAAACGTGACTCCAAAGCAAATCCGCTTCATGTCTGCCTTTGCCTATCTTCGACCCTTTGATCATCTATGCCGAAAAAGCTTAAATGGTAAAGCCCGGAAACCAGGAGTGAAGGGCAAAAAGGGTTGAGAATTAGATCTTTAAAACAAAACATGATCCAATCGAAGTGCTGTTTTTCCAAGCAGTGACTCAGTGAAACAGCCTCTTACTAAAGGGACAAACTAAAGAAACTATAAAGAAACTCGTCTCTTATTACGTGTTGCCCCACAAAACCCCGGACGGTTGAAACACCGTCCGCCACACCGGCCGGCGGCCTCTGGATACCCGTGGCATCGCAGCACTGCGCCCATCGGAGTCGGGCAGCCGCCGCAAGCGTTCATCGAGCAATATGCATAGAAAAATAATAGAAAGTATCCAAATCACCATGATGGTTTATCAACTGATCTGCATCGATGCACATGATCATTACATATCATTACATATGACTACCACACTAGAATGTACTAGTGAGAGAATCAGAATATGAGATGTATCACGGCCCATTCATCAGAAACTGGCACATCATGGCGTGGCACTCTTCCTCGTGTCATCGGGAAGCTGCAGCCGTTCACACCGAGTCTGCGGCCTGGAGGGACCCGGTTAGAACGTGGCCACATGGCCAGGAGATTCTGAAGATTTCTCCATAGAAGGTAAACGCAGCGTGCAACAGCAACAGCAACCCTGGTTTTTGGCCATGAAGCGGCCTGGGTGCAGGAAGCTTTTTTGGCCCAGGCATGCGCATGCCCAGACCGCTTCCATTGACAAGACATGAAATAGTGTTGCAAGTGAACCTGTACAAGCAACTCTTGTTGCAACAGGCTAGCAGGAAAAACACTAGGCGCTATGAGTTGGTGAACCATCTGCTGCTTACTGCACATGCTGCAAACAGTTCAATGACTCCGCCAGCCGCCTAGGCCCTCCTTGCTACTTGGTGTTGGCTCTCCAAGTATGCCTTGGTTTGTTCGGTCTCACTGAGGAGTGGAAGCTCGAAAGTCTTGTTCCGCAGGAAGTGGTTGGTGACGGTGTCGAAGGTCTCATCCATCTTCCTCTTCTTCGCCCTGGGACCGTGCAACTCGGCAATGGCAGGCCGAGCGTGGTTCAGCACGGTCGCCATTGCGAGGGTGCGAAACGCATCGGCAGAGGCCCCCAACGGCGTGAAACAGTTGTGGACGGCAGGGATTCTCTGACCACGCCTTGCGAGGTTGGCTTTGATCATGGCCTGTTTGGGGTGTTGCCCTCGCAACATGCACCTCCTCCCTTCTTTGAATGCCTTTTGCATGATCTTGATGTTCGCAACCCGCTTGCTCACGTTCAATGTTGCGCTGGCCACATTGAGCAAAGCATCGGCAGCGTTTCGTTGCTGCGCCATTCCTTGGTCTTTGTCAGCCTTGTAGTCCTCATACTCAGCCTTCAGCGCAGAGTAGGCTTCATACATGTACCTCATCGCCTCCCACATGATGTTGGAGAAGTCCACTCGGTCACGATCAGGCATCAACCTCTGCAGGAGGACAAAAGCTCCCTGCTTGGTCAATGGGAGATTCTTGTTGGCTGTGACGCTTGGCTTTCCACCCTGCGTCAGGGTGAGCTGCCCCACGTAGTGGGTGCCTGATCGAATGCCAGGCTCCTCATGCATCGTTCGGAGGATCTCCTTGATCCACTTCTTGGTGTCTTTCGACCCACCTCGACGGCGATAGCCATGAGACTTTGCGAGCACCAAGGACAAGCTGGAGGGCGTCAAGTCACTCCCGCCGAAGGCAAAGCTCTCCATGATCCATTTGCAGGCCAGAAACACCAAATGTCGAGACACATTGGGAAGACGACTCAGGACCGCAGCCTTGGTTTTCGATGAGATCAGGTCCCTGAATTCCTGAGACTCAGGGGCTGGAGGTGTGCCAGGGGCTGCCATGACTCAGCAAACGAAAAGTGATCCAAGATCCAAAGCAAATCGAGAGCCTTGAGCAAAACTGCCTGTGTAGTCTATAGTGTCTGTCTGTCTTTGAGATTTTAATTTGACATGCAGCATGGAGATGAACAAAGAAAGCATCAACAAGTATCCATTTCCATGTCCATCTCAATTCCAGTCCCCACCCAAGCAAACGTGTGCGTTCCTTTACTTTTTTCTCTACTGCTTCTCACGCCCAAGGTGTGTCGCTTGCAGCGGCCGTCCAATGATGCCCGAGCACAGGCCAGTGGCATTGAGGCCTCGGGTGTTGGTCAAAGCAAGCATACGGGGTGTCCGTTTGAATTCTTGGTGAATACGGTTTTTCAGGATGCCTCTAGCAAATGGTTTTTGGCAGGTACCCTGGCCCTGTGATCCACCCCACCCAGACCGCCAGACCGCACCGGCAGCCGGTTCACCGGTGTTGGTCTGAAAAGGTAGCCAAACTAACGTGTCTCACCGACAAAAAGAATAAGAAACAAACTCTTTGTAGTTAGTCGACAGGTGATGAAAGTTGATGTATACAATTTGATGGTGCAAGACGTACGTGACAACCCAACCTGAAAGGTATTGCGGTGCTGGTTTGGCCCCCCAAAAAAAATGTTTGGGTTTTTGAACTTTTCAGCCTGCGGCCAATTGCCACTGCGTGGCTCTTGTCCAATGCACATCGGCAGGAGATGCCCACCCTGGCGATACTGCAAAGCGATGCTTTGGAACATGGCATTGTATTTCTTGAGATCCACTTCAATATATATGTCACATTTTACATTATGTAGTGCACAGTGCATCACTCCGGTGTAGCAACATGTTAGCGCATTCTCTGGCATCAACACCATGGGTCTCGCAATGCTTTGAAGTTCAAAATTCCAAGTTAAAAAAACAATGAAAACGTATACTTGGAATTTGTGTTGGCAAACAACAACTTGAAAAATATACTATTCATAGCCCCGAAAAGCCTTGTTGATGGAGTGTAGTGTCCATTCACTTGGTCCATTCACCACCCCGACCTGGGGTCCTGGCCCATATCCTCAGGTTCGAAGGCACAAACCCCCCAAATCCAGCCACCCCAACCATCTTTGAAACGGACGTAGGGTAGGATCTTGATTAATAAACACCCAAGTATGAAGAGTTTATTGAATCCCAAGAGGGGTGATTATAAATCAAGATCATTGCTTCTAGATTGGAGGCCATCGCTATTGTATATGTTGAATGCCATCGCTCTTGGGTTGGAGGCCATCGCTGGTAGGTTGGAAGCCATCGCTGGTAGGTTCAAGGCCATCGCTGGCTGGTTGGAGGCCATTGCTATTAGTAACTCAAATGAATATTGTGTTTTAATTGTTGGGGCCCTTTCAGTCACACGAACTTCTCAAAGTCTCCGGGAGCGCTGACGCGATCTCGTGGAGGATGAAGCACTTGACCACTGACCTGGTCCCCTAACTGAAAACGGTTTAAGTATTCAAGTATATATATATGTGCGTTAATAACTATGTAGGGCATTATAAAGCACTCAAAGATCAGTAGGTTCACATTATACGTATTATTCCCTCGTACCCCCCCGAACCGAAATTTACACACACACACACTTAGATCCATGCTCGCAAGAGCTAAATCAGTTGTGAAATTCCCGAGTTACTGCAGCTTAGAACTTGACTGAACTAATTACAGCGAAGCAGCGCATGAGACAGCTTGACCTTTACTTAGAGTTCTAGGTACTTACAGTAAAAATCAAAGCACGTACGTCCAGCTGGCCAAGCTGGATATCCCATTTCACTGGTAGCTTCATTGGACACAGTCCCAGTGAAATGCCGTGTCCCCCTGCATCACTGTACAGTAGAATTTAGAGATCTAGTTACAGTCTAGTGGTGTCAGAGGTCCTTAGGGACAGGACTTGACACACACACAAACACCAGCCCGAGCACTGGGCAAAAGAAACAAACAGCACCACCGAGCTTGACACGCTTCGTCCAAAACAAATCCCGTTGAAAAAAGAACAAAAAGAACATAATGTTGACTCTTCTTTATTACTGTTTCCCTCCCCCCTCCCCCCCAGTCAAATCCATGACCCTCCAGAATTACGAATGAATTTGGAAAAATTGACAGGAATCAAAAGGAAATCAATAGGAATCAAAAGGAAATCTAATGGGAATTGAATCAAGGGGAAGGGGAAGTCAAATGGAATTAAAACTATATACAGTAATATCGTAAATTGAACATGAAACGCGCAAACATTATTGCAGGAGGTGTTTTAGTAAAAAGACCAATATAAAGACAACACATTTTTGTAGTGGGTGATGTTATTCAAGATTTCTAGTATACTGGGCAACACTCTTTGAAAGTGGAATAGACTGCAATGTTTGTAATATGTTGATATGACATTAAAAACATGGTTAATCAAATGCACGCACGCATTCAAAGGTAATCAATAGAAATCAAAAGGAAATACACAATTAGATCTAATTGTAGAAATTCAAAGCACACATATTTTTAAAATAATCCAATAGGAATCAAAATAAATTAGAAGGAAATCAATACTTAGGACTTAGGACCTAAATAAATGAATTCACTATATTAACTAAGAATGAAAAACGTAGACATTAAATTAAACTATTACAGATGATGTTAATCAAATCAGCCAAAGGTGCAGACATTAATCGGGGATGGGTCACTAATCGACCCCAAACAGAGTCAATATTTGTTTTTTCTCGCCCGGTCGGCTGGGTGGTGCTGGGCCTGTCGGCGCCCAGGACTTCGTAAAAGTGCCACAGAGCCTCTGGAATCTCCAAGTAACCTGAACCAGAACGCACGAGAACGCGCGCGCGAGTCGAGGAGGACTTCCGGTCAAGTCGAGACGTCCTAGGCGGATCCGATCGCCGATCTGATTGGTTTTTCCGAAACACCTGGAAGAAATAAAGATCTTGATCCGCTGCAATCATCAAGTCTCCTCTTGGTATCCCTGAATGCTTGATAGTATATAGTTAGTATAGTTAATTGAACCATGTTGAACCGGCACACTCGTCGTGTTTATCGTAGAAGTAGGCATGCCTTCTTGGGTACTCACTTGAATCGAGCGCATCTCTTCTCTCTTCTTTTATGTCTCTTCTACTCTCTACTGCATACTACAGAGGACCAGACGACGAGTCTGCAGTGCAAATATGTGAATATGGTGTACTACTTCTGCGATCTTCAGCCACGCTAAAGGCAGCGGGTCGTCAGCATTTTAAGAAGAGATATTTGCAGTTGATGAAAACACACACCTCTAGCAAAGCGGTCGGATTGTTAAAAGTCTGCACTGAACTTCCGCTCTGGCCTCGAATAGAACAAATAATATGTGCCCCATCAAACACGTGCTAAGCAAGTGGTTCTATGTGGTTTAAACTGCCATCTATTAATATGCTATACAATATGCTATATACTTGATAATATGAAGGTTATTTGGGTGGAATTGGATTGACTTGGTTTCGCCTCAGCATCCTGCCGATTCCCCACACCCCTACTTGAACGGCGAACCACGCCCTGTTCCCTGTCTCATCGACGGATCGTGGTGCTCCGATCTCTCCCACCCGGGCCAATCGACCCATGTTGCGACTGTGGAGCTCTTGGCTTGGGAGAAGGATTTCTTGGACTCCACCAACCTGCCCACTGTGGTTGCACCCGCGAGGGAGCTCCATCACACGGAAAAAGAACACACTGAAACTCGGAGTAGCGTTTTCTCCTTTGGGAGGGGGAAGAGGTAGAGGTTGGCAACTTGATCAGACTCATCAGACTCAAATAAAAGGGCGTCCTTCCAACTGGAGCCTTTGCAAAACTCAGTGAAGTTGATGCATTCATTTCTGAAACATTTGTTTTTCCCTTCAACTTCAACCCTTACCTTTGGCGGCCTTTTTTGGACCTCCGTCACAAGTCTGGGATTGGAATTCAACAATCACTTTGGTCTTCCTGTGCCCATCACACTTCTTCGATCTTCTTTGCCCACATCCTCATATAGTTCTGATCATCACATCACAAAGGAACACAACCAGTTTCATCATCCAAATCTTTTATAATCTTTTATCTCCGCTCCAAAGGGCCACTCCACTTCCGTGAAACCATGAAATTCCCCAGGCTGGCCACAAAATACTTCAACCAACTTAAAAGGTACTAGTAGCTTCTTGCTCCTGGTAGCGATGGCCTCCAACCTAATAGCAATGTTTTCCACCTAATGCAAACACAAAATTAATAAACTCCCCTAGCTAATCCGAGCCCACAAAGTCTCCGAAAATTGATTTCCCCCCAATGGTCTAGTTGGGCAACAGAACCCCCCCCCCCAGTCAACCCGAGCCCACAACCACTACTACTACTACCACTACCACTACCACTACTACTACTACTACTATTACTACTACTACCACTACTACTACTACTACTACTGCTACTACCACGACTACCACGACTACCACGACTACTAGGACTACTAGTACTACTAGTACTACTACTACTACTACCACTACTACTACTACTACTACTACCACTACTACTACTACTACTAGCACCACTACTACTACTACTACTACTACCACTACCACTACCACTACCACTACTACTACTACTACTAGTAGCACTACTACTACTACCACTACCACTACTACTACGACTACTACTACTACTACTACCACTACGACGACTACTACTACTACTA